TACTTTTTACAAATTCAAAAACCTCCTCTCACAAGTGCTAATAATTAATAGGGTGCTTTGAACTTCACTGAAAGAAAAAAACGTTGGGAGGCTTGAGGTAAGTAACTTTTCAAAGCTTTGATTATTCGTCAAAGAAAAAACTGTTTGAAATATGGCTGGGAAATGGTAAACCATTCAGAAATGGCAGCTGGAACACCCAACACACTCCTGTTTCTTTCTTTTTCAGAAATTATATCTTCTGGCTGTATTAAGCCTTCATTAGTATTTCTCAGGTCTCCTTATATGGTAAATTATATAATAGAAATATGATCAAAGCTCTAAGTACCAAAAATATATTAGCAGCCCTTCTTCGACGGATTTTTCTAGTGGGGATTGTTTCTACCAGATAACTGAAAAAAGTTGGAAATTAGTTGAATATCAGCCTACTGGCAACAGAGTCTAATGATTATTATAATATTTTTCTGCAGCAAGGAGAGTTAATTTCTATATAGAACTTGAACAAATATTTCAACTTAAGCACTGAAAACTGAAGTAGTTCATGGTCTTACAGACTGCCTCAAATTTACTAACAAACCTTTCTCTAATGTCCCCTGGACTTCCAACTGCTCAGACCGAAATGTACTGATGCTGTCGGTAAGTTCTGGCAAATGTCTTTGTTGAACAAAAGACATTTTAGATTTGTTTACAAATCCATCCTGCAGCACTTTATAAACAACTGCAAACAGCTCTTTCTGGTGTATGAACATCTGCAAGGCTGGGCCCAGTTTTCCACTGACGTTGGAAACCTCCCCATGTTGATAGGAGGAGACAGTGGGCAGATCCCTTTCAGCATGAGGACTGCAATGTCTTCTCCCAAACTCTGGAATTTAACTATGCCTATTACAGAATAAGCTCTATTGTTTATACACACTTGAAAATTCAGAAATCAGGACAATTCAACTGAAGAAATTATGTTGGCCTGGAGGATCAGAAGTAACACTGATCTACAGTGTTATTTTAAAGACCAAGATTAAATAATATTGTTCAAGTAATTAGCTGGTTTCTCCTATTTTTAATTTCCTCGTGATAAATCCAGTGAATCAGAAGTTCCAGTTATCAAAAAAGCCTATAAAGACAAAAAAATTAGGTTCTTATTTAGTTCAGCTTTTTATTTAACAATTAAGGCTACCCTAAAAGAAAACAGTATGTTCTTGATACTAGAATGTTTTCATGTCATATGTGATTAAATATTTTTAAAAGAATAACAATTCTTTTTCAAAAGAATAATCAAAAACTGTCTTTAAAACGGTCCAGCTCAGCACTATCATATTAAAATCCATTAGAAAACACTGCAGAACTTACACAGCTGTTCTATCAGCCTCTCCACTTGCAGATCTCTGAAATAATGATCTCAACACTAAGTGTTTTAGATACACTAATTACTACCCAAGCTTTGAGTGGGGCTTCAGCATTCAACATTGGTTTGCAGCTTTCCGCCCTGAGCCAGGTCACAGCCCAGCTGTGAACACTTTGAAAATTCTAACCATTCCCTAATATGAAATGTGACTTCACATCACTCTGCAAGGTACCCATCATGACATGTAAATAAACATAAAAAAACTACACATTCAGCTGGAAACCTGTTTATTCCGATAACAAGGATCTTTGGTCTAAAAACACATATTTATGTCCTGTCCAGTACTGTGAGTAAATGCCTTTTTTCGCTTTCACTATGATTTCAGTCAAGATGACTCAATGAAATATCAGAAATACTAATATCCACAAAATGACTACCAACTGTGGAATAACACATATTAGAACTGTCAATCCAGACTAATATGCAGTTGCCTCAGATAGAAAACTATTACAGGACTCGGAGATAACCTGCACCCTTTGATCATTCAGGCCTCTAGAAGCAAGTCCTCTGAAGGTAATTCAGATGCCTAGAACAGAAATCTGGGGAGAATGAGATAATTAGTGAAATTCTAATTTTTAAAATACTTTCATCTGGTTCATGGGTCAAAAAATTTTGCAAATACAGGCATTCTGTACTCACTTTGACCTAATCCTAAAGCTTCCTTAGTGAAGCTAATAATGTCCTGTTCACTACAGAATTGGAAAAATAATACTGAACTGGTTTTGAAGAAACTTAACCAAACTGGCTTTCTTGCTGTGTCCTGTGTCTTCCAAAGGTTTAAGATGCCGAGGTCAGCTAAGCAGAACGACTGGAAGTAAAACCAAGAAGCTCCTGAAAGTAACTAACTAGACTTAATGACTCTCATTCTCTTGCATTTTTGAAGATTTAAGTTGCTTCTAAGTTGGATTCCCAGCTTGAGACATGAAGAGCCTGGAAACCCGAACAGGAAAGCATACAAATTCAGGATTTACTGCAAAAAAGCTGATTTGAGCTGCTTCAAGAAAGCAGGTAGGACTATGGAGCCAATTACAATAGGAAAACGATTGATTAATCCAGAGAAAAGTGAGCTGATTCGCAGCACTCTAATCAAACATCAGAACACAGAAACTATTTTAATGGATTACACCAGATGTCTGCCTAGTCCAGCAAGGACAGCAGCAGAATATGAACTCTGTAGTGGACAGGTGTGAGGTAATCTACCTTCCCTATTCAGTCCCATTTTACTTGAAATACACAGCTTGGCTTTAACCACGATACAGAAAATAATGCTGAGCCTGACAGTATTATAAAAGCTGATGGCTAAATTGATTTATATGGTTTGAACAACGTTCAGTCCTTCTGTACTGGATTCATTCTTCTTGTGCAAAATGCAGGTTCCAGAGCTAGATTCATCTCCTAAAGACTGCTCTAGATCTGGCATATGATGAAGACACACTAAGCAGTCAGGAAGCATCAAGCACAAGAACGTTCCCCAGTTTTGTTATGTGTTCAGTAACAGTGTCAGTGTCACCTGGCACTAAGGGGACAAAAAAAGGTTTTTTGGGGGATTTCCCAAAGAAAGAATCTGCCTGTCACTTTAGTGTCAGCTGACAGTCAGAAAAAAAACCAAACCATCCCACCTTTTTTTTCCCTCACAGCCTACTTTCCATGTCCTTCCTTAAAAATGGGCCAAGATCACAAGCTTGCTTCCCTTTCTCTGAAAGTTTTGGGTCTTTTTCATGTCTTTGTGGTTCTTCACATTTTTAATTCCTTGTCTGGTTTTTTCAAAACAGAAGGACCTTCAAATTAAACTTGCAAAATGGCCAGACAAACATTGCAAAACTTAAGCAGACCATGTATCAGGACATGCAACTAAACATGATTTCAGCACAACATTTACGAGAAAATCACTCGTTAGTCAGCTGCAACAGTTACAAGTAGAAAAAGTTCTGGGCAATGTTAAAAATAAAAATATTGTAAGGCTGCAGATTCAAATAATACATCAGAGAACACAGTGTAAGAGTAAATTAATCTGGAAACAGTATGAAAGTTACATTACATATTAAAGTTATGACAAGGGCACAGGCAACAGTAACAGGCAGCAAAGGTGACACAGTCAAATGGCCACTTGGAAATTTGTTCCCCGATTCACAGCTCAGGCAGAGCTGATCAGCTGTGTTTAGTAGTGTTGCACAACACAGAGGATGCAAATAATCACCTGCCTCATGGACAAGTTCAGTGTACAATAAACTTCACAGTGTGGTTTCAGGGCTTCATAAACAGCATGGCTGAACACAGGGAACTCAGGAACCGCATGGCCAAACCGTTTAGATGTAGACTCTGTAGTATTGTTTCCCAGAACACAACAGCATTTCACATACTTATCACTTTTTTCACCTCAAGGGGCCCAAAAATCCAAAATCAGTTCTATAGATAATACATATTCATTTGGAGCCACTTCTGAGGCTGAAAAGCAGCAGCACAGCCGCTAACACAGCAGGCTGGGAAAATGAACTTCTGGTCCAGGAACCCAGATCATTTATGTGTGGTGCTGTGGGATATTAAATATTCAGCAAAACTGTTATCTTTGTTTCATCTTCGAAATGTTAATATCTCTAATTTTCATAATATATTTTGGGGGCTTTTATTTTCATGTGGGTTGGAAAAGACCTTAACTGTGTTTTGTTAGAACAGGAAAGACCCCCATACCTAGAAGGTCCTTATCATTTATTAGGGAACACAAAACTTCAGTGTCACAGACAAACTTATCTTCACATACACAGTTAAAGCCATCGTTAATACATTCCGAGTGGGAAGAACAACACTTGCCACCTTCCTTTAAGAAATCCTCAATAACAAGAGTAAGGCATGGGAGCTGTCAGGGGTGCTGGTCGCTGCCCCTCCGCAGCCTCCGGCTACTTTACACCTCCCGGACAGGTCAAGCAGCATCTGGAGGTCAAACCCCGAGCTATCAGCCTTGTGCTGCACTTTCAGTTCTGGACCTGTGTCTTGACGAATTTTTTTTTTCATCCTAATTAAAGCAGGCGGTTGTTTCTTGTGTGAGGGGAGCTCCTCTGCACCACCAGTTTGCTCTGCTCTTCGCCACCGCCACCTTCGCCCCTGCGCGGGAGGATGGAGCAGAGTGCGGGAGGATGGAGCAGAGTGCGGGAGGATGGAGCAGGGTACAGGCTGCCCCACCATCATTCTCCGCCCAGCCAGGGCTCAGCCGCGCAGCGCCGGCCGGGTGAGCCGGGCTCTGGCCCTCGCACCTTCCAGCCTACAGCGGGTCAGTCCCCCTCAGGCAGGGCTGGAGCGCCGGGGGCTCTTCCCTCTCTCCCTGCTTGAAAGAGCTTTCCCCGTGACCACCTCTTCCCCGGGAAGACGCTCCTCACCCCCCATGGGAAGGGGCCTTGCCCTTCGCCACAGCTCCCCAGGCAGAAGCCTCTGCGGCGGCCCCTTCGTCACCTCAGTGCCCTCGGCCAGAGGCTCTCCCCTCCCTCTCCCCTGAGAGAAGGGCTCCGTCCCCGCACTCAGTTGCGAGCCAGGCCCACTCTACCGCCAGAAGCCCCTGGAGAAGGGGGGCTCCCCCTCTCCCCCCGCCCAGGCGACTGCGACTGGCACTGACCCGTCTCTGCCGTCCTGCTCCTCTCCGCCATATTTGTTGTCATCCCGCCACCCCCCCCCACGCCGCCCGGCCGTCGCCATGGCAACGCGCGTCACCGCCACCGGGGGAGCCCCGCGCCCCCCCCGCCATGGCGGCGCGGGCTGAGGGCCGCCCCCGGGGACAGAGCCCGCTCGGGGAGAGCCGCCCCCGGGACAGTCTTCCCCGGGACAGCCTTCCCAGGGACAGCGTGCCAGGGCAGCAATGTCCGCTCCCGCCCTCGCCCAGCTCGGCGGCCGCCGCGGTGCTGTAGGGCGGGGCGTGACGAGAGCACCGCCGGCTGCCCGCCCCTCACGCAGCGCCGGCTCCCCGCCCGCAGGGCCGTGCCCGCCCCTCTTCGCCTCCCGTGACCGCTGTTTACCGGCACTGCTCGTCTGGGGAGGGGAAGGCTCGTTATTCGCTCCCCGGTGGCTGTTGCCACCTCGGCAATTACCGTCACAGCGCCCCGGGGGACGGGGCAGTGCCGGGTTCCGGAGGGCCCTGCCGGGGTGGCCCCGCCCGCGGGGAGTCGGGGTGGCCCTGAGGTGCTCACAGGGCACCGAGGAGGAGAGAGAGGCTCGTTACCAGAGTCACAGAATCACTTAATTACAGCCACCATGTCAACTAAACCATAGGACTCAGTGGCACGTCCAGTCTTGCCTCCTGGGACGGTCACTCTGCCACCTCCCTGGGCAGCCCATTCCAGTGTCTAATCACTCTTTCTGTGAAGAAATTCTTCTAGTGTCCAATGTCCTAATGTTACGCAGGTGCATGTCCCCTTCCACATAGATCAGGGGCGCAGAGGGCAGAGAGGTTTCTGTCACCCTAGGGGTGGGGAGCACATCCTCCTGCTCCGATTCCAGCCTCATGTGCTGAAGCGCAGCACAGGCAGAGATGGCAAATTCATGTGTGTGTGACTGCCCCACCCCGCCCCAAAACTCAGCAGGTGAGTCTGGTCATGTGGCAGTTATGTCAACTTCTATTTTATTTTTTTTTTTAATTTCTTAAGGCAGCCCAGTGGGGAGTTTCATTATGTGTGCAAGTGTTGCCCGTCTGTCTCCTTGCCCCAGACCCAGCAGGTGAGCCTGACCATATGGCAAATGCAGTGACGGGGACGGGAGGGCTTCTGTGTGCGCGTGTTCGCGGGCCCGCTGGGTGACACTCACCATGTGGCAAACACGGCCATGAAGACTTTGGTGCAGAGGGGCTAATTATGTGCGTGAGTCCCAAGGGACCCGGCAGGCTGGGTGTGCTCATGCGTGTCTCGCTAATGCGCGGCTCAGGCGGAAGCTCCATTGTACATCCCCAACGCTGCCAACGCCGAGCTCTCGGAGGCGAGGCTGGCCATGGGACAAGCACAGTGTTACAAGCACGAGCATCAAGCCTAGAATCGTGTGTATGTGCATACACGGGCAGACACGGGGTTCCATGCACACCAAACTGGGGGGCTGCTAGAACCGTGAACCAGGGAGAGAGCACGTGCAGTGCTAAGCAACGGAAATGGGCAGGACTGTGTTCATGGTTATGTACAAAGGTGTTTGACTCCTTAGATCCAGTAAATTAATGTAACCACTTCCTAGTGACCAATGACTAGTCAGTGAAAGATTCCAAGCTTAAAAATCAAGGCAGGTAAAATTGTATCTTTCTTCATTTAAGTTCTGTTCTTTAAACATCACTTTACCTTTTTTGTCTTCCTATCTAGTATGTGCCTTTTCTGCTCCAGTTCAACTCCTCTTAACAAGACTCACATGGATAATACCTTCAGGTTCCACACACTTAGATTTTTCTGTAGGGTCAGTTGCTTCCTTTCTCCCTGGAAAAGAGAAAGCCTGCTCCTTTTGCAGCCCTGTTCATTCTTCTTTCATAGTTCATAGTTCTCAGGTTATTTTTGCAGCATCTATTTTTGTGGTTTCCCTTCCTTTACTGTTTCCTTTCTTTTTCAGTGACATTTAGGCCTCTCTCCTTTATCTACTGCTCTTCACTCTCAGTATCTTACTCTACTATTATATAAGCTAATTAATTTAATGTTTCTTTAGCCACATTCCTGTGCCTTGATGAAATACCTGTCTGAAGGGGTGTACCAAGGGGGCTTGTGACAGGGTTAGAAGACGCACCCTTGCACAGAAGAATAGCAGAGTGTAGGTCTGTTCTTTGCTTAGCAAAGCCATCTAGATCCAAGCTCTGAAAAAAATATTTTCTAGACTTTTCCCTCTGCAGTCTTTATAAACCATAGGTGGTCACTCGCATACTAAAAAGGTTGATGTGTCTCGCTGCTGACAGTGAGCTACACTAAGTGCACACACCCCCACAGACACATTCTCACATTGTCTCCCATACACTCTTCCTCCAGGCCAGCAGATCACCCAGGCCCTGTGCTCTTCCTTGTTTGTTGCTGGACAAATGATCCTGGGACATCCCTCTTCAGAACATGCCACATATACTCTAATCTTTCTCTTCTTTCTTTTAGGTTCCCTGATAGCCATGTCCCATCCCAGCCCTTCTTCAAACAATTTTTCATATTACTTACCTCTTCATTCCTTTATCTGATATTTCCTTTTTTTTTTTTTTCTTTTTTCCTTTTTAGATCTTAAAGAGTTCTGTCCAAGTTTGCAGCTCTAGTCTGGTTTCTTATGTCCCCATGTCCCCTTATTCCCTTTGTTCTACTTGCTATTCCAGCTTTAGTGTCCCCTCATCCATATTTCATTCCTATCTATTAATACTCATATAGCATTTTTCATCTGTAAATTTCTAAGAATTCAGTGCCTGTGGAGAGACCTTCCATATCAGTGCTTCTTTATTCACATTTCTCTGAGACTCGCTTCTATGGTGACCACAAATACTAATCCAAAGGTCTTTTGCATCTAATTGCCCGTCAATTAACTCAACTCAAATACCTGCAAGAAGGTCTATTGAAATAAAGACATTTGGGGGAAAGAACTTTCTCCAGTCAAATTATCTCTTCTGAGTTAACACACTTGAAAAACCTAGAAATGCCACACTCATTTTTTTTAGTCTGAGTTTAATGCTATGTTATAGTCACCTCACCAAGCAGAAGTGCTGTTAAATATAGATGATATGCAGTCTTTCCAAAAACAGTAAGATAATTTGACAAGAGAGAACTGGAAAGTTCATATAGAAAGTTCTTTTGGAAATAGAAAGATAACCGAATGGTGTAACTCAAATCAGGGCTGAAGAACAAGGGAACTGGTTTTTAGGAGAAGCAGTTGCTTATTTTTATTTGCACATTTTTAGAGCACCTGAGAACATGTTGGGGGTCTCATTAGTACACCAAAGACGTCTTTGGCCCTTGCCCTTCCAAAGCAAACAATCTGATTTTGGACATCACAAACCAACAAAGAACAACAGAACACTGCTGCAAACCACCGCTGCCCTGGTTATCCTCACATTCGCTGTTTCAGCCCTATTCCTTGTTCCAGCGGGTCCCCCGCCTCCTTCCGCATCTTGGCAAGCAAAAACTGCTCCACTTCTGTGGCTCTTTGCAGCTTATTCCCACCCCATCATCTTTTAATAGCCTATGGAAAAACCAACGGCTTCCCCCCACACATTTCATTCAGCAATAACTCTCTACTTGTTACATTTTCAAACCGGCACCTTCATGCTTTCCCTCGCTGCTGCTTCTCACTCCCACTCACCTAATTTTCCTCCTTCAAATCCCTCCCTAAAAATCTCCTCTGCTGTGCTGTCTACTGAAGGAATGGTAATGAATCGTCAGCTGTGTGCCAAGATGACTGTCTGTCATGGAGACTGTTCTTGTCTTACTCTCATGTGTCGGGATCCACTGCCTGTGTGGGACTGACAGCCACTCGAGGCAGGGCCGCTCCTCTTGCTGTGTTATGGGTCCTGGAACAGACCCTTAAAACTCATTGTATAAACAAACAAAAATAAACTGAGGCGATGGAAATAAAAATGGAAATGCTGGCCAAAACCAGGAAGATTAGACAATATTTCAGTTATGATTCATCAGCTTAGGTAAATTTACATAAATATTAATGTGACTGACAACTCCCTTCATTACATATATTGAGAAAGAAATTATTTTTATAAATATGGATTCGTCCCATTTTTCTATTTATTTATAATCTCTAAGGACTTAAGGAGTATGCTTTACTTTTTTATTCGATGCTTGCATTTGAAACATTAGATATTCCATTGTTTGTTTATCTTTCGTTTGCAGCCTGGAAGACTGTGGCGATTAAAGAACAGAAGAAAGCATAACAGTGAAAGAGCAAAGACTTGAAAGGAAAAAAGATTTCTGATCACTTTTGTTTTAACATGAGGATAATTCAAATATGTTGAAGATCGAATGATTCCTGTTACACATTCAATACTTCTGATTCAGCTAGAGGTGGCTGCTGTCAATACATGTCTGTTGAAACCCCAAAGATCTTCCAAGAAAATCAATAAAAATCCAATTTTACAATCTTGATATTTTCAGAGTGTTTAAAAAATTGGCAAAAATCCACCCTTTTTTATACATTACAAAAAAAGACAGTAAGGTACATTATTGATTTTTCACAAATCGTTTTTAAGCGACTGTTAAGGCTGGATGTGAATGAGAAGATGGAGCATTAGCACACGTTTTCCATGCCTTTCACACACCACACACACACACACACAGTGTATGGTGTAGGTCTTCAAAGTGGGGATTTAAAAATCCAGGTGTAATTGTGTAGAAATCATATAATTACTTTTTTTTTGGTATCACTTTCCCTGTGTAGAAAAAAGTGGTGCAAGCATTCAAGTGTATATTCTGTTGGTGCTTCAACTGTGACTCCTGTCAGAGAAAAGACCATGACAATGGTTCTGCTACAGAAAGGCCATCGATGACAGCCATGCAAGCAGAGCAGGTACATTCCAAATTAAAAATAAGAAAACTAAAAAGAAGAAGAAGAAAAAAAAAAAAAGAGAGAGAGAGAGAAAATCAAAAGTCTGGTCAGAGTTTTTAGCCAGGATGTTATGGTCTGGTGGACTCAGACAGAAAATTAAATCTGATAAAGCAAGAAAAAGCCAAAATGAAAAACCAAAGCCCAGACTGAGGTAGCAAAATTGAGGTGAATTTTCAACCATGCACACATAGTGGAGGAATGCTATAATCTTATTATTGTAACCTTGATCCACTCGTTCCCCCAGCATTTATTGCTCTCATTAGTTATGTAATATCTAAAAGCACATTGTAATTTTTTTGTGTCAGGACAGTATCTTTAATGTATTCTGAACATGCCTAGTATAACTACAGAGATTTATACAAAAATAATATTACCTCTTGAGGGTTTTTTCTGTGTTATTTCTAAGCATAGGAAAAATTAAAATGTAGCAAGTCTGAAAAGGTCAAACTGTATCTCCCCTCATTCTGTGCATGATTTCAGAAACAATCTAAAAGTTATGTTGAGATAACTGACATGAAAGCAGAGACACCGTCATCACAAAACTTGGATCAATTTTTGCCCATGCAGGCAAAGCATCATCTCATTTCACACCTGAAAATATTCTTTTTTAATTTTACATTTTATAGATATTTTGAACTGTTTGTTCCTAGCGGTTTGTCCTCACAGATGTGCATCAATATTGTGTAATTACACAGAGAAACCGTCAGCCCAAAGGAACCCAGCCTGTGCTGTACAGGAGGTGAACGACCTGTGACTCCGGGATTTGGAATGCTACTTGGCTTTTCCACTCTTCCACAAGCTTTTCTGAGCTTGTAAAAGCAGGGGATTGCCAATGTGCAGGGCTTTCTCACACCCCCCCCTTGCTTTTCCACTGCCCCTCTAAGCCAGGCAGAGCTGAGGAGTGTTTGCTTGCCAGCGAGCACAACTAGGAAAGGAAAGGAAGGTCAGTGGCAGCCACCCGGGCACAGAATGGAAAAAGAACTGTTATCCAAGGGCACAGGTAAACCCTTGCTATTACAAACTGAGACTTCTAAATTCTTTTCAGGAAATAACCTTCATTTTTAAGTTCCCATCAGAAAGGTGCACACACATATGTGATAAAAGTGCACTTTACCTGGGAGAGGTGAAGGGCTAAATCAGTTCTCCTGGGATTTGAGCATGTGGATCAAAACAGTTTAGAATTTCAAACGTGAAGTATAATGCTAAGCTAGAATTCTCTGCCACTCCGAGGCAGGTAGAAGGGACCCAAAGAATTCTTCTACACTGGAACCCTCCAATTCCCTGGAATCCTTCAGTGGGGAAAGCACTTTCCAGTGGTTTCTAATTGTGTAGCTGCTAAATATGCTCTTTACAGGTGTTCCCAAGGGGTCTTCATGATCCTGATCCACTCCTTGTGGCAGAGATTACTACACCTATACTTAGAAATTAAAATATATGCTTGTGTAATGTTTTAATATCTTAACTGGAAAATGTTTAATATCTAAGTATTAGTTTTTCATTAATATTTCCAATATTATTATGGACTCGGTCCTGTGTTTATATATACAGACACATTTCATGCATTGCATTTTAATAATCTACAAACTCTACAGTTCTCTGCTATCTTGTAATCCTTTTCAGCATTTACTCTGATAAAATTCTTTTAACGCAGACAGCGAACATCTGGACAGATGAGAGAGGTACAATCAGAACTTAATTTCAGATTAACTGAACAATTGTTTGCTGTCTTGAAGCTGGTTATTTGGCCCTCAACTGAAATTTAATTCTTTATAGGAGAGGATTCATAATTAATTTAGGAACCAGGTTAAATTCCAAACTTTTAAAATAAATTCATGATTTGTTATTAGTTACAATTTCTCAAGGTACCAGTGGCACAGAAAAAGGAGCAGCAAATCACTGAGAGACAATCAGTACATGTAGCAGCTGGGAGAGAGGAGGTAAACTGAAATGGCAGGAATTTACTTTAGACTGCAATAAGCTTATGTTAGCTAACACATGGCAACTAATACACGATGAAATCCCAGTGCAGAAAGGCCATTTTTAGTTATCACATTTGTTAGCAGATCATGGTAAACAGTTGGCTCACCCTAATATGCACTTGTCTTCCCCGGCATTTTTTTCTCACACTAAGTGGCAAGGAACTCCCTTTTGCTCCTATTATATACAAGTCCTACGAGTGCTCAGATAGGAGTGGAGTAGACCTACACCAATGTCAGCCACATGGATGAAAAATGATGGGTTTATTCCTTTCAGGAATCCAAGGAATGAGCTCAGAGGCCGCAGGTAGATTGCCTTGGTTGAGTTCACTGCACTTGGTGGCTTAGGACTGTCAGCCCTTGAAGTCCTGGTTCACCTTTAGCCTTTCAGTTTTGCACTGCACTTGTGCAGGAACATTCCTGGCTTGCCAGTTATTCCATAAGCCCTGCAGTGCCACCAAAACAAGTCCTTTTAGTGCAAATGTTATTGACATTTCCCTTTAAAAATGACAGTGCAATAAGGAAAACTCAAGCCCATAGCAGCACTCCATCAGTTAGAAAAGGGATAATAACATTAGGGCCATTTTCTGTGGAATCCAGGGTATAGACTAAAGCAAAATATGGGACCTACCAAAGCCAACCACCTTCCCTCAAGAGTACAAGAAATGGTGTTGTTTGGTGAATCTAGTCCTAAATACTGTCTGCTAGGGCAAAATAAGGAGAACTCGAGAGAAAAAGGACAATCTGATGATGGTCAAAAATATGATCAGGGGATAATGCTCCACATGCAAACCTCACCCTGACCATCATGAGATGGGCAGAGACCGGGCTTTAGAGGCATCAGAGAAGCATTACACCAAGACCACATTCACAGTAACATCTTAAAATCACTATCTCATGTGTCTGAAGACAGGAAACACACGGCATCTTTTCTTTAATTTCTCTATTTTGTCCAAGTAATACCAAAGTCCAGATACTCCTGAACACCATGATTACCAAAAATTGTTTCCCTTGATGTAATAGCAATGCCGAGAAGTGAATATTCAGTAAGATATAATCACACACAATTATCTGTCCCTAAACTTGAATTTAAGAGTCTGTAGAAAAAAATTACACAAACTTTTTAAAGTTTGTATTCACAACATCTTCTTCTGCATTCTAAAGCCTCAGTGACCCTCACAGCCTGCAAACTTTCTGCCACTCCCTGCAAGAGTGGCCCTACAGATGAAAAAAAAAATCCTTTAAATTAATATCTTACAGAAATGAATGGGTATATATTGGATCAGAATCTGCAGAAATAATTTAATGTAATTACTAACTAATCCATCTTGAAATCAAGGACAATTTAAAAATTAAGACACTAATATGAAATTAGAGTCACTTGAAGTTTGGATGAAGGAAGTACACAGTAAAAAATGTAGTTACATATCATTCTTATCTTCTAAATGGAGATATTCGGTGAAGCACAGATGGGCTACTGTATTCCTAATCCTCTGACCCATAAGGATTGGCAGTGAGACAGTGTTCCCACTAATACATCTCCCACTCCTTACTTTTTCACGTGGCATTGAAATACTACATTTAGGAACTCGTTGACTCACTTAGGATGGCGGGTGCTGTACCAGAGAAAGGAAGCTGATTTCCTTTTCATATTATAAGCACACACAAAAGTGCTGGAAACTTAGGAATCAGCTCTTAGAAGAAGCACCTGGAATAGAAAAGCTCTTAAAATCTTAACTGCCAGAAAGTAATGGACCATTATACAGGAGAAGGGAAGCTCAAGAATACTGAGGGTCTGACTAAGGAGTGGGCACAGCACTGTCCAGGACAGCTATCCTTGACCATTCCCGAAACTGCCAAAATTGTGATGGAGGGCAGAGCTGCTCACAAACCAGGCACAGGATCTGCAACTTGACAATGTCTATAGAGGAGGGCTTCCAAGTAAATTCCCCCTTTGCTGAAAATTCTGGGCTGGAAACTGCAGATTTGGACACTAGAGCAGTGACCCCATCAGCCACCTGAAGTTATAGCATCCTGATGGGGTCATATGTCACTTAGCAATCACTTGAGAATCCCACTATAGAAAAAGGAATGGATTTGGATTCCCAGCTCTCAAGGTTACCCATCAGAACCTTCTTCCCATACAGTAAGCAAGAACTTTTAAAGGGAGCAGCTGCCACCAGCCAGTGAACCTGAAAGGGACAGAAATGTGGGTAAAGTGTCCCAGTGTAGTGATGCACTCTGACAGAGATCCACACAAGAGGCAGGATTAAAGCAAACACAAGAAGAGATGCTGTTTAATTAGGACCTTCACAGAGAAACATCTGGTATAATTGGTTAAGGGGAAGTCTTCATTCAGGCAACATTTATTGGTATATAAACAACGTCCAATTGTAAACACTAATTAAACAGCAGGACTAAGGTAACAGAGTTTTGCCTGCCTGCCTAGGACATAAGGTTTATAATCCATGCTGTTATGGGACAACAGCAAGAACAAATAATTGTGGATTCAATAAGTCAATTATGCCCTTCTTTTTGTAATAACACACTGCAGAGGTCAAGAGAATACTTTCAGTAACACAGCCAGTTTTCAATAGCGACTGAAGCTTGATAGCTATTCAGTATTTGTTAGGAAAGTGGCAGCAGCAGGACAAGCCTGATGGATATTCCCCCTATCTGGTGGTACGTTATTTGCCCATCACTGTGATGCTCCAGGCACTCTCATATCCTTTGGTTTCACTGAACAAATTCTCTTGACTTTGAGCCATCTCCTCTATAGTAGATTCCTAGGAATTCATATCATTAACCATATATTATTTCAAAATGTTCTTTTAAAGCAAGCTTACTTACAAGTAATAGTGATACTTATTTTATATATATTAGATATATATAGTTGAACTAATGCAAATTTAATGACAGGTACACACGCATCCATGTAGCTATAAATTCAATGACAAATCCATCTTGCAGATCTTTTTCAGAAGATCCTTTTGCAGTGGCTGCAGCCTGGCTTTACCTAACCCCTCCGGACTGCCTCCACGTTCATCACAGGAAAGCCTCCACCTTCTGCAGCGTCTCCAGAATCATTTCTACTTGGCAGAGCTATACCTGCCATTACAATCCCTTCAAAGACAGCCTCTGTAACAAAGAAAATTCCACTTTATTAACTTCCTTCTTGCTTGTCTTCTTTGTACTGGTGGAATAACATACCTCTGCAAGTTGGAAGGAAAACGAGAGGTTTAGAGGCCGGTCATGTAGAATCATGAGTATCTCAAGTTGGGAGGTACCCCTAAGGATCATGGAGTCCAACTCCCTGCTCCTTGCGTGACTACCTGGCACTAATCCATGTGACCAAGAGTGTCATCTGCTGTGATGAGAGAGGGACGTTTTCCCCTGAATGCCATTCTAGGCACTAACATGATCTGTGAGGATGAAGAAGCACCATTTGTCACATACAATGAACAACTAAAATAGAGACACTCCCCAGAAGTTCTCTTCCAAACCAGTGACGCCCACAAGAGCTTTCTGCCTTTCATGTGAACACTCTGAAGACATTTTCTTTATTTAATAGTTTTCATAACACAGTGTAGGCTACAGTGCATTTGCTGCACTTTGCAGATGTGGCCATCAAACGACCTGAATTCTGTGAGAAGACTGCAGGCCAAGCAGTGATAGACAAATGCACTGAAATCTTCAGCTGGTTTATAGCATTTTAAAGTGCACATAATTTTCTCACAGACTAAATACCCACAGCAAGTGGAAAAACTGACTTTAAAAACTTGCAATTTTTTTAAAATTCATAGCCTCTAGCAATATATTTAAATGAGCAGTAGGTACAAAACTATACTCAAAACCTTAAATGTTTTCACAATAATTTTTACTTTTAATAATTTAATTTATTGCATTTTAGATTTGAAAGTAGCAAGGACAATTTCAAACAAAAACTTCAAAACCAAGATACAACCAAAGACTTTTTCAGGATGAAAGAACACATGTAAGGAGGATCAAGACCCTACAGTGAGATCAGCTATTAGCTAATTAAATATGTGACTAAAATTCATCATTTTAAATAGCAGCCGTATTGATGCTGAGCAATCTGGTAAGCAAACAAATGATGGTGGATTTTTTTTGTATCTTCAGAGAGAAACATTTATCTTAATAAGATTCACTGTGCCATAATACACATGGAATAAGTCAATGTCTACTAATTAAAGGACATCGTCAACCTGATTTTCTAAACAGCTAATTAAAATATGTAGCATCTAATACAGCCCTTCTTGCAAAATATGCTGTTGAAAATATACACCCCTGTAAAAGTTACTTGTTTTTCTATTCCCTTGTGTTTGCCTTTTTAATTGGTTTTTCAAGAAAGGAGGATCTGCTGAGCTGAGGTTCTATTTCTGTACCAAGTTCCATTGATGAACACCCTGTACTCACGCAGGAGCCCAACGATTTGTAGGTCTAAAAGGCTGTACAAGAAAACAATGACACTAATCCTAAGGGTTTGCTGTTGTTGCTTTTTAAGGGATGACAAGATTTTTTGGGGGGGATTTAGATGTTAACTTGAAAGGGTAAAATTTTCAAAAAGAAATGTCATTTTTATAATGATGAGGAATCTTTAACCTTCCATTTTATAGATCACATTAGTTTCTCAGAATTATCAGGCTTCTCTCTGATGCTGTAAGTAGCTTTTTCAAGAGAAAGAAGTTGTTGTAGATCTGTCAGCAAGGCTCTGGGAGTAGGAGGATGTTTGGATTTCCGGCATATTGCAACGCAGTTCTTGGCCACCAGCAAAGCTATGTGTGTGAATCTCATTTTATATCCGTTGTTTGCAATACCACAGATTTTAAGAGACATTTGAAATAGTCTCCGTACTCCTAATCACAAATCATTCCCTAAGAGAAGCTGAGAAGGCAAAATACATACCTTACAGGCCTCATGGCACGACAGACTGTGGATGAAATGATGCTGTCATGGAAATAAAATAAAATCAGTCGTGTCTTGAACAATTAAGTCTGTATTCAAAGTTCTTAGCTCAAATCAGTTTATTATTTGATGTTTTTCTTTCCGGATTCTGACTGAACGATATCTTCTATTACATACTTTTTGCATTAAAACATTATTAGCCAGCTAATCTTACTAGTCAATTTTTTATTCTATTTTAAAATGTGTAGTTTTGCAGTGCAAAAATCTGAGACAGCAGATTACAAATTCTGTGACTGCTAATTATTTTCAAACCTGGAAGTATACAGAGCTCATCTTCAATTTGAATTTGCATTATTTTTTTTCTCTAAAGATCACCCGAGTCACCACTCCCACCATTTCCCCTTCTTTTCTATCCTCGACCAGCACAAAGAAAACATCATTTTCCCAGCCAAGGCATATGCAACATCCTTCAGAATGCGTCAGAGCAGATCCTTCATCAGCCAGAGGAATCACTGTGTTAACAATATGAAGTCCTTCTCGCCCCAGGCAGCACAGAACAAGCTCGGGTTTATCTCACATTTTTAATTGTCCAGCAAAGAGTTGATTTTGTCAACACATCTTTTCCTTTCACGCACCTGTGCCCTTCTGTAGGCAAGCACCCAACTCCTCCCAAATTGTAATGAAAGCTCAGTGACCGACCAGAGGCTTCTGCAATCTCTGCCTGGGACAATGATTGAAACCAATCCCCTCCCTTGCAAATAATTCCAGAATGAAATGTACCTGAGAGTTGCGTTGACAATGACTTGGGAGGGCAAAATACATTTTAGTCTTCTACAATTCTCTGTATTCTGCAGTGCTAACAGGAGTTAAAACCTGGTTTAGTCATTAAAGTAATCAGATATGAATCAAAGAAACCTCAGGAGATGCTGTTGTTGAAAAAGCAGATATTATTTTCACACAAACAAGCATTTTCCTCATCCTAACTTCATCTTAATGGGTATATATCTTTAATAAACAAACCCATTATTTTGAATTGTATCAAGAAATTTTCATCTGTAATACTGCTCAAACAAAAAAATACTAAAATGCTAAAAGCATTTTGGTTTTTTTAATACACATCTAGCATGTTTATTGCCATAATGCAATACTGAAAATGCCGAAAAAGTGAATCAGTGATCTATAATTTTAAAATGCCAGTGATTTCCCAGCTGTCACTGATCTTGGAAAATTTCCCCAGTAGCATGTGGAAATCAATAACTGTTTACAGACTTTTTAGTTCCAGTTTGTAGGGGGTGTATCACTATGGACTATGTCAAATCTCTTAGCTGTGAAGTGAAAGGCTGATTTCACACTTCAATCTCTCCAAAAGCCCATAATGCTAAAGAAAGGCAAGAATGATGATCCATGGAACCACTGCTTGTCCTCTGGGACAATAACGGAGAAAGTCTGCAAGGAGCCATGCCTGAAGAAGAAAGAAAGGCGATGAGAAGCAGTATCCAGCATGGATTCTCCAAGGTTTGCCACACTTGAGCAAGTCTAACAACTGTCTGAGATGAAATGGCAAGACATGCAGACAAAGGCAGAGCCGTAGATGTTGCCTACCTTGACTTCAGGAGGGCTTTCAGCACGGTCTCCCACAGCACACTTGTATCCAAACTGGAATGTTATAGTGTGGATGGGCAGACTGCTGAAAGGGTGAAACTCTACCTTGACAGGCCCAAGGGGTTAAAGAGCCACACTCCATCTGACAGCAGTTACCAGTGGTGTCCCTTGAAAGTTCACCCTTAGACCTGCACCAAGGAATATCTTTATTAGTAGCCTGGAGAACACGGAGAACATCTTTTTTTATTCCCCTTTATTCTTTGGAGATATTTAAGCACTGGAACACATTGCTCAGAGAGGCTGGGGAATCTCCATCCTTGCAGGTTTTCAAAACTTCATTGCATCAAAACTTCATTGCATCAAGCCCTAAACCAACTGATGTGATTTCGGTGTTGACCCTGATGTAAGCAGGAGTTTGCACTAGAAAATCTCCCAAGGTCCCTTCCAGTTGAATTGATTGCAGGAGTCCCAGTAAGAGTCTTTTCAAAGTCAGACTTTGCCATCCATCCTATCCATAGGGTTGTCCCTGTACATGGGTAGTTCTGGGCTGATATAGAAAATAAGTAAATTAACAAGTCCTTCTTATCCTTGTAGCTCAGCAGCAGGTTTAAGATCAATATCTTGTGCATGCTGATCCCAAATTCCATGGCAACCTTAATGTATCCCATTACCAGAAAATACCCTTCACTCACTATTTTTCTCTCCTTGTACACATACTTATATGAAAGGGGATAAAGAATCTGGCTCACAGAACCTTTCTCCTCTGAATCCAGATGATTTTCTATTTGATATCTTTTAAAAAAAGGTACTGAAAAATAATTTTATTTTTTTATGTCTCCTTAAAGCTTATTTACCAATGTTTTTAGTTATGGCAGATCAATTTTTTTCTATGCTCATCCATTCTCAGTCTTTTACTTTGTCTAATTTTTCATCAGCTGAATCTTTTCCTTGCATAACTGAAATATGAGGTATGGTTTCACACACGTTGCTGTGTCCACAACTCTGAACATTAGTTGGGTAAGATGCAAATTGGTAACAAGGCATAGTGTATCCCAACATTGTAAAGAAATTGAATTTTGAACTGTTCTCCTGAAAACCAAAATTTCATTACACTACCCTATTTAGTGAAGTCAGACATACTGGAACTAGTGTCCCTTACCACCTTAGGTTTCATCTCCTCATGGTTACACTCAGACTGCAAACTCCCTGGTTGGCAAATAAGACATTGCAGGCAATCCTCAAAATGAACAATAACACTGCAGTGTAGTCATTTGTTACAGGACTGCACATTGTAAATGTGACAGTATTTAGCAAATAGTAGAATTGTATACTGGAAATGAACCATATATTTTCCCTCTAATTTCTTTAGTAAGAGTGGTTAAACACATTAAATTGTGCAGTTTCACATCCAAGGTCTTATTTTCAGCATTATGAAAGACTGAAAGTATTTAAACCTTCTCTGCATGTATCATCATGAAGACAAAATCCAAACTGTAAGGAAAACTTACAAACATACAAAATTATGGCCAAATTTGTGTAATTAAAGCAGCATAAAAAGCAGCATAAAATGGAATTTCTAAGATATTATAAATATACAAAATGATTAAGCAACTACAGCATGCATTGGTGGTTTTGCCATGGACTGAAGCCAAAGGTCAACTTCTTTTAATCCCATGAGAAATCCAACACTGTTCCTGAGGTGCAGTACTGTGTATATCAACAGAGGAAGCAGTTTAAACCTATTCAAACCTGAAAAACATCTTAAAAGTCCAGAAAGGTAATAGACAAACAATGTATTCTTCTTCATCATTGTTTTTACTCCTGGCTGTGCAAATTAGAAGTAGAAAGTTGGGACAGCAGCGAAAGACTCGCCAAAATACATTTCAAAAAGAAAAAATATTTAAACTGATATAAAAAAAAATCAATAATGTTATACTGAGAGTGGAAGGCAGAGTGAATATGAAGTCATGTGGCTCTGAGGCCTGATCTTTTAAGCTGCTCCTAATTAAATGCAGCTTTCTCTTACTGGATGTTAAGAGCTTTCCAGGTTACTGCCCATATTAAATGAAAATTAGATACTTATGTGTATGAATGTTGCAAAGTTGACTGAAAAGAGATAATATGTGAAGACTGTGTCAAAAAATAATATTGCTGATTCATTCTAATGTGCTCAGACATTCCTGAACTCGGATCGCCCATCAGTACCTCATAGTACGGGTCGTAATCCTCAGCAGATAAACGCTTAATCCAAGATAAATCGTAATAAATCCAAATGAGATTAGGCCTTAACCAAAATATCCACCGAGTGGTGCTGGATAAAAAAACATGTTTGAGTGACTGTGATACATCAGTGGGAGTCACTGACTGAATTCTGTAGAACTGCAGAGAAGGTGCAATAATAGTTAAAAGCAAAGCAGCACTGCACTGATCAGCACCACTCGGGGGCTGGTGTTGAGTGTTCACCAGCCTCCCTTCTTAACAATATTCTTCTGATCTGTGAGGCTTCATGGTTTACATCAGTGTTCTGTCAAAGTCACCTACTTTCTGAAACAAATGTTTTATTTATCCCCCTCCTTCCCACTCCTACTATTCTGAATCCGAATAAAACCTGCAGGAGCCTTAAGGCTAAATCATTCAGCAGGATCCACTGGCATTTTCATCCCCTCTGTGTTTGGTACCTTATGATATCAGGATGACACGTTATGTATTTACAGTAAAGGACATCTTTTCATAGTATTTTAAAAAATCAAAAAGCCACATTCACTAAATTCACAGTGTTGTGACTGACTAAATGCATTATGGTTAGAGCTGGACAACAATATAAGAAAAACTGCTGCTAAAATCTCAGATTGCTATGAAAGTCTAGACTCTTTACCTGGAAGAAATTTCACCCACCTTTACTTATGACACAAATATAACCTCTCAACCTGCCAGCTGTAAACAAAAAGCTGCTGCCTTGAAGCAGAAGCATTTCAGCTACATTTTAATGTTTTTTTTTTCTGTAATAATAAAACCTACAAGAAATTCTATTCTAAAAAAATTGTGTTGCCTTACATTCAGCAACTTAGAGAAAAAAATCAGTACAAGAAATCACTGCTTAATAAATTGTAACCTGAATTAAATTACAGTTTGTGAATGAAGCTGCCCATGTAAGTGTGAGTTCCATTAGCATTACTGAGCATACTTGGAGTCGTGATCCTGGGACAGTGGCTTCATGGGAGTTTTTGACTGTGGGAAGAATTAAAGTTTGTATCTGATGTCCTGAAAGCCTTTGATGTGTTTATAGCTTTTATAGGTCACTTGAAAAGATAAGCTTTGTAACGGCTTTCTACACTTACCCCGGAAAAGCACTTACACACTCTTTCCATTGCTTAAAATACAGAACTATTTACTTCTGACAACATTTGCTATTTGTTCTAAACACCGTGGTGTGCATTACCCAGGTATTGATTCAAAATGCATCTTCTGAATGGGCAATTTCATCAGCGAGCTCTGACAGCACAGCGAAGCCACCAGATGTTGTCACCGTCTGACTTTAGCTGGTCCCGCTGTTTCATCATCAGGCAGTGAGAGCACAGCCCCGCGTTAGGTGTTTATGGTTTTAGCAGCGACCTGGGAAAGCCTCTTCTCACTGGCAACTCCCCCCCCATTCAGCCCAGGTTTCCAAACTGCAGCAGATCCGATTGTCGGTTGTCGGGATTAGACAAAGAAACGGGGCGGAGTGTGGGAGGAGTAACTGGAGTGAGATGCTCAGGTAGAGCCAGATGCACACAAACCACCACAGGTGATTTGCAGTGCATGTGTACAATGAGCACTCACGTCCTCTGAGTTGAGACTTCACATCACTTTCATTGCCTACAACACAGGACTTGTTTATCTGACGGAGAAATGTAAGTTCTTATTTTAGAAGGAGTTTTTGTTGTTGGTTCTGCCATGTGACTAAGAAATGAAGTAACACGAAAATGAACTAAATCTTTTACTTTGTGTAGTACATCTCTAAATTGTGCATTAGCAGTAATGAGTTGTAAGAAACATTCACAGTTCCTCATATTTGAGCAGGTCTACCTAGAATTCTCTTTTCAGAATAACTATATTGGGCTTTACACTTCTCAAGGGTACAGAAGACTTTCTTATAACTATTTTTAGTTATATTTTTAAAGAGCAGTTAGGAATATCATCTGAAACTTGTATCATCAAGCAAATGCCACAGAGTGATCATTAGTTGTACAACAGTGCAGACCTTTCGCTATGTCTGTGGAGAAATATTTGCACTGTAACCAGATCCAGTAGGAACTATAAAATGGTAGATGTGAGTTTTTGAAGTATTAAGTAGAATTTTTATTTTTTTTCCCCCAAAGACCTAAAAAATCTAGGCAAATAACTAAAATATTGAATACTGCAGACTTGGTATGCAGCAAATAAAAAAAAAGCTATGTAAGAGATGTCATTTTCTTTAGGTACAGAACTCAAAGTGAACTGCTTTTAGAAAAGCTGTTGTCTAACAGAGTGATACCTTATCATTTAATGGACCGATGCCCTTTTCCTGACTGTTGTTTGCAGCTGGACTCCTCAGTTTTTAAGAATATCAATACCTCTTCAAAAGAAAGTTGTGGAGGCTTTAAGTCAGGAAGGATTTCCATCATTCTGTCAAAACAAACAGAAGGGAAAGATCCAGTGCACCTACAAGTACAGCAACACTACTTTGGGTTGGAGAGAAGTATTCTGAGACCAGTACACTGTTTAGAGCCAGATGATTTTTAATGGAAGAATAAGAGTGCACTGAGGAAGTCAAATTTGTTTACAGGGGAAAAAAAAGAATCTTACTTTTGCTTTGTCTGGATTTCTGACAATGACATTTCATATCTCCTCTTGTTAGAATAATTTATGTATTTTAGGGGATGCCTGCACAGAGCAGATGACAAGTCCCTTCCCTATGTGCTAGTGTGTCTCTAAAACAAGAGGATTTGGACCAAACTAATAGACAGATGAAGCCAAACAAACAAATTGCTGCTATGCTAATTTCTGAAACAGATGGCTCTGATCCAGCATTTGCTGGGAAATGCAATTCCTTGTCAATCTAACACAGAATCATGTATGTCTCTCTGTCATCCTGTATGTATAGCATATAGGAAGAAATCTGGCTCAGGATACTCCACCCACAGCTAAATTTATACACAAAGAACTGAAAATCAAAGTGCATAAACAAGTACAAATTCTGCCATCCGTACTGGAAGCAGAGATTGGACCTTGTTTTGAAGTTCCAGGTACAGATCTTCAAAAGGCCTGAGTTGTTCAGTCTTTCCTCACTTTGTGTTAGAAATACCCTTGAAATTAATGCAAGTTGCATACATGGCTTGCAGCACTAGAGCAAACCAGGCAGGCCATCCTATAAACTTCTAATTTTCTAGACTCGAGGTATTTTATTTAAATGCTTGAATGTTTGTTACTTTCAACCAAGCTCCCTGAAAAAAAAGTCAGTAAAAATGTAAATAATTTTGCCAAGCCACAGCTGAGCTCTGGTCTAACTGAGCTCCCTCGGTGTTTGTCTTCACTGTTGGTGCATCTGCAGCCAAATTTAGCCTAATGCTAAGAATGACCTACACAGCAAGGAAACAAACTGTTTGAAAAAATATAGGACAAAGCTTATGTCTAAGGGAAAGCTTCCCACAACGTTCTATTTGTGGCACACGATCATACATTTGTGTCACATCATCTTATCCTTTCCTTGAGCACCGACTGAAAAAAAAAAAAGAGGCTTTTTAACCTACTCAAAATCCTCCTTCGTACATCTTTACGGGAGAGGGTCACGGACAAGGGGAAGCACCTCCCAGTTTCCGTTCCAGCATCGGGAGGCACCTGTGAGGGAGCGCAGCTGTGGGGACCCCCTGGGTACGTTACCGAGCTGCTCCCCCGACCCACACAGGTGCCCTCTCCCGCACCCCGCGAACCCGCACAGATGCTGCCGATCCCGTTGGCCATAAGAGCCCTCCCGGACCCACCTCCCGCGGCCACTCGAGCTCCAAGATGGCGGCGGTGCCGCCTCACGCCGCCCCGTAAGCGCCGCGCGGGAGACCCCGTAGCCGCTGCCGTCGCCGCCGCCACGTGCTCGCCGCGCGCGCGCTCGTTCCTCGTGGCGCCCCCGCGGCGGAGGATGCGCGAGCGGGACGCGGTGAGGAGCCGACACCCCCCGGAGCGGGGCCGGGCCCGGGGGCGGCACGGGGAGGGGGCGGCACAGGGGGGGCACGGCCGCGGGCAGAGCGGCGGGCAGGCGGCGCGGGTGCCTTTTCCCGCGTCCCGCCTCTTCCCCGTCGGTCAGCGCTGCCGCGGCGCGGAGCTGAAGGTGGCGGGGTGGGGGAACACACACACGCACACCCACACCCGCGCATCCCCCGCTTCGGGCGGAGAATCCGCGCTCGGGGCGTCGAGCGCCGCCGGGAGCGGGAGCCGGTGCCCGCCGGGAGCGGGGCCGCGCGCGGAGCGGTTCCGGTGATGCGTTCCTTTTTTCTTTTTTTTTTTTTTTTTAAATAAGAAAAAAGTGCTTTTGCATGGTGGTTCCTAAACTAGCGTTTTTAGACGGAAAATGTGTCCACCGGAGCTTTGCGGGGTTGTGGCGGCCGGGGGCGTATCGCGCGTGCGAGACCCGGGCGGGACCGGCGAGATCCGCCGGGGCCGAGACCTTGCGGGTGCCTTGTCCTCCTTTCCCCACCTGTGCCCCTGCCAGGGCATCTCCTCCTTTCCCCACCTGTGCCCCTGCCAGGGCATCTCCTCCTTTCCCCACCTGTGCCCCTGCCAGGGCATCTCCTCCTTTCCCTACCTGTGCCCCATGTGATGTATCTACAGCTTCCAGGCTCAACCCATTTTACAGTGATTAGCACAGTTAAGGTGTTTTTAATTAAAGTCTTTACCCATGACTTGTGTAGTTTTAATTGCCTAATACTTAACTCTGGAAGTTGGTGCTGGTTTTGTGCTGGTAGCTTTTTTTCTCCTGCAGCGGACTGATGGTGTGAGGTATTCCCACATATAAAAAGGTTAGCTTGGATGTAGTTGAGACTTCTGTTCATTTATTATTCAATATAAAAAACTCTATTTCCGAAGTAAGGTCTGTCAGTGAACACGTGTGTGAATAAGTTTTCCTAAATGTTTTCCTTGAGTTCTTTTCAAGTGTGATGGCAAGCCTTGAATAAAGCTGACACTGGTTGTGGAGGCCTTAAGACAGTAAGGCTGCCTTTGGTGATAAATCATCTTTTAAATTTCACCAAAGCAAGAGTAGGACATAATCGTGTATTGTTTTTCAATTTGTTTATTCGTTCTTAAGCAGGTCTCCCACTGACTTGCTTGGAAGGCCATTGTACACAATAGCACCCTCAGTGCCATTTAAGACTTTTATTGTCTCTCTGTATTAATAGAAAGCCACTTACTACTACTTAACAGGTAGGTTTGAGGCTTATTTTTGTGCCAACACTTGGCCTTCTCTTCTAAAAAGGGCCAGGGAGAGCACTTGAGAATTGTTTTAATAAAAACAAAGCAGTAGTTCCCCCTTTTTTTAAATTAAAAGTTCCAGAACAATTTTGGAAACTTTAAACATGAAAGTTCTAGTGGTTGAGAAGCAGAACCTGCAACACGTTCAAAGCAAAAATGAAATTGATAGTCTAATTTTACTATCCACACTGAGTGACATCTGAAATAGTAAGGAAGCCTAAATGATGAAAAGTAAATTAGATTTTTAAATTAGGTAATGTTTGAAGATGTTAGAGTATTACTACATTTATTTCCTTGTTAATATTCTGAGATGTTTTAGGAAAAAGTAAGGAAAGATAAATCATACCAAAATAATTTAAATGACACTTAAAAAAAATCAATTACAATGTGAGGCTTATTGCTATGCAGAAGAAGAAGCCTTTGCACAGAAATAAGCCTTTTACTTAATTCCACCTATCGAACAGAAAAATACAGACTAGGGAGAAAGTGCTTGTCTACCTTTGGCAATAGAGGAGCCTGGGAATAGTCTGAGGAAATGGAGATTCCGATCTATGAGATACCTGGCACAGGCATGTATGTTTTTATCTCAATTTTAAAGGGGGTTTGAAACTTCTTTTAGCCATATAGAGGAAGGACTCTTTATTTTTGTCTCAGTGCAAAGAAGGAAACGCCTCAAACTTAAAAGTTTAGTGACTTCCAAGAAAGATGTGTGCTATGGTGTTAGTAAAGACAAGGTTGCTTTACTAGTTCAGAATGCCCTGGTTTTGTGGAGAGGGAAAAAGGGGACACCCTACAGCCATAATAGTCTGAAAGCTACAGTTAGGACAGCAATTGCCTGGAACTTTAAATGTGGAGTGAGGGAAGATATTGTGGTGAGCAGCCAGGTCTTCCTGGGTACTTTAAGGGTTACTTTGGGCTGATGTGTAGTGGTGCGCCAGAGCAGAACTTTAGGAGGCCATCAATTTCTGTTAGATGTAAGAGTATTTTAAAAAGTAGAATTTGGCTTCCGTGTTGCTGCAGAAACAACTTTCTGGAAGGTGGATCCTGCTCAGTCTGATAAGCAGAAAGAGTTAACATGTATCTCAATAGAGTGGTGGGTATAGTGCCAACACTGTCGTTAATTGCAAATCGTTTTGGTGTTTGCATTCTGGGATTGTGGATGGGAATTCCCTTTTTTACCCATTTTTATTTTGCCTAGGTGTACTTGGGATTTTTACAGCTGGGAGTCAGCAACTTTTTATTAATTTTCTAGAAATAGATATGTAGCAAATAACTTCTTAAATAACTCCAGATTGTGTCAGCATTTTTCTTTACTTGTTTCTATCAGCATTAACTAAGTGTTACTGTTCAAATCAGCATGGTAACAGTTTTGAAGAATGGCAAAAGTAATGAGAATGGATGTATTTTCATGAAAGGGTAGTATATAAGAGGAAAGAAGTAAAACCTTAATATTGCCAGTTAGATTCCTATTATCTGTAACGGTTTTTTGGCCTTAAGGGAAGTTGATACCTAACAGTAAAATCTGTGTGAAGCAGCATCATGTTCTTATGCTGGTCTGGCTGCCTGGATAAAAGAAAAACATGTGGAGTGTAGCATTATTGATGTGGCAATTGTATCAGGATTCATTTGTGGTAACTGTGGATTTTTTCTGGATGAATAGGAGGAGTAGAATAATTATAATTCTGGCCCTGCAAGAATTATACTGACCTAGGCAGAAAAGAGTGTGTCTCAAAACTAATGACAAAATATGCCAGACATACAAAGTGTAATCTCTAGGGTATTTTCTTCACTTTTGCTTAGTTTTTAAAGAAATTGGATGGAAAAATCCTGCATTCGAACAACAGAGGAGTGCAGACAAGATGCAGAATTAAAGAGCAAGCTGAAAAATCATGACTGAACTCAATAACAGTGACAAAATAATTGTGGTCACTTCTAATTAGCCTGTTTATTTCACGGTACCAATTCAGATTTTTCTAAGAAAGTATATACGCTGGTGTTTTTTTAATTAGCTCTCCTTGATTTTTCTTACATATCTTAATTAAAAGTTTGGTTGTAGTTGTTAATTATGATGTACTTGTTTAGCCTTTTGTTTAGTCTTTGTTCTGTTTATGAATGCTGCCTTCGAACAGCATTGCTCTTACTCAAACATCTTGCATGATAGTTTTCCTTGGGGGTTACAGAAATGATAATCAGCCTTATGCTTGCTCTGTTTCCAGGTGCCAGTAAGAGACTCTTTGGAAACCATAGCTCAACAAACAGACATTTCGTGTTCTACTGTGACCTAGTCCAGTTTGTCAGGGTTTGAATTTGAAATTGCTTATCACTGGCCCAGTCTGCTAGGGAGATTTTCATGTTTCTGGTTTGGTTGGACTTCAACTTTTTGGTTTCAGGGACTTTTTTTCGGGTTTTTGCTCTTATGTGAAAAGGGGGTTATGGCAGAGAATCCAAAGGTGTGTTGTACTTCTTGCAGTCTTTTATATTTGGTCAGGTTTTTTCTACCCAAACTGTTTGCAGCAAGTATAGCATAGGGGCACAGAAAACTCTTAACCTCTTGCAAAAAGAAATAACATGTCAAATATTACAGTATATTACTGGATTCAGAAAGCAATTGACTTGTGAACCAGGCTTGGTGAACCATTTTATTCACAATGTCTTTTCATTACTTATTCAGATAATTGATGCAGTGTTTGAAGTCCCTGAAGTGCACAGAAGCATCTGCATTTTCATTGACATAGTAAACTATTTCTAAAAAAAAAAGTACTTCAGTATCCCCACAATAGACAAAATATGCAGCCTTTGTTTCCATAATGATTTAAAGTTAATGCATGGGAGATTGCGTTTGGGATTTCCATAAATTAAGGGTTGTTCTCACCTTTCAACAGTTGGGTTTTTAGTACTGAAAAACAAGTGTGGTTTCTGTGTGGGTTTTGTGTAACTTCAGTAAAAATAAGTATTCTAGTGCTTCCCCCACGATTATAAAAACTAATAATAATAAATGGTGGTATTTGTAAAACTGCTGATACTTCTGCAGTCTAAGAATACATTGAACAGATGCCTCCTGTTGCCCTCCACTTCAGTGTGTTTACTAGTGCTTCGTGCAGCCTAGGTCATATTCTTGTTTTCTGTGTTTCTAAGTGCTCCTATAGCCTCTTCCCTCTGAATGCAGTCAGCTGCTCCCTGATTTGGTTTACATGCTCTTAGTGTCTCCCTCGGGTTCTCTCCATTCACCCGTCTTTCACAACAGGCTCTGCAAGCTTTGTTAATCAGCTCATCCATTTGCATTAGAAGGTGGGGTTTTTTCCAGCACAAGAAAAATTGTTTTCACCCCTCACTGCTTGCTGTCATTCCTTAGTTTGGAGCTTTCTAGTTTATTATCAAATTTATTACTTGCTGTTCTTGGAGATAGAGCTACACTTTTCTGTTGTTTTTTTTTTTTTTTTTGTATGCGTGTCCATCGATGTTATCTGGCCCCTTGCCTGCCTTTATAAAAAAAAAAAGCTTACTTTTTCTTCTTGATTGATTTCTTCCACTTGGCTCCTTTCATTTTCTTCACTGACTAGTAGTTTTGTCACTTCTGGGATTTCATGCACTATTTCCAACACAGTTGACTTTATTTG